GCAGCTCTCACACTCTTTTATGAGGTGAACTTCTCCAGTTAGGAGCTCAATGGTGTTGCAGGACTGGAAGGACTGGGTGCACAGTGATGCCTGAAAAGTGGGAGCACATCCTGACTGTGTATTAACCATGTTACAACTGCTGCAAGCAGGGATGTCCTGACACTATTGATGTCAGGTCTATAGGATAGTAGGATTGCCAAGTCTACAGGATTCCTCCTTCTTTGGGTGGGCAGTACAGATATAAGAGGGCACAAGTAGGACAGTGGACGTAGTCACACATTTTTCTGTGCTGAGAACTTGGTGCTAAACAATTAACATTCATTACAATTGAATAACAGTTCACTATAAATAGCTATCAGGATTATCCTCAAATTTTGGGACTTTTAGGTCCAATGGTAATTTAAAGCTCTCCAGGCCCAAATCAACATCTGTTGTATTTGCCATGCAAATGCAGAACTGTTAAAAAACAGTAAGCTGCAATAAAAATATAGGAAAAGTCATACTGACTTTCATTTCATAGTAGACTAGAGGTTTGACCATAGTACAGTGTGGGATGTGTGACAACTTTAGCACAGGACTAGCTTGGAGGTCCTTTCTGACTGGCAGTGCAGACCTTACAAGCATTTGTAGCTAGAAGGCAGCAATCTTTCCTTTGTAAGACAGATTTCTTGACACCAAAGCTCTGCTCTTAGTGATTTAAGACTGGTGTATTTTAATGAACTCTACTTTGGACAGAGCTTTGAACATATTCAGAAAGTGAAGCTAGTGAAAAAATACTCTAACTGAAGCCCAGCAAAATCCACATTTTTCATCTCAGGAAATGTCTTAGGGGTGAATTTTACTTCTGCTCCTAATGAAAGTAATAAAACAATCCAGAAAGCCATTACAAAGCATGATTATGAATCAAATACTTGTTGGTCAATCCAGTGATTTGAATAAAAGGAAAATATTCCATTTAGATCTCAATTTGAAATAGTATGGAAAGCAGGAAAACACATTTTGCAATGCAAAATTGAAAATGTCGTTCTGAAAATGTAGTAACATTTAATTTTCAGCAAGCTGATTCTTTTGTTTATCTCTTCAAAAGGAACATTAGTCAAGATCATCACTCTTAAGCAGATGTTTTGTTCTCATGAATTGGCAATTTCTGGAAGTCTAAATGTAACTGACTTGTATGTAGAATACTTAACAATATGTTAAAGTGATCTAATCTCAATGAATTTAAGCTATTGCTATGGACCTAGAGTACTTCCCAACAATTTGAAGCAGTCCTACAGATAAAGGTTTTATTCTTTTATTATTTTTTTCTTCCCAGTTCTTGGTCAGGCACTGTATTTGAATGGACAAAATAATAAAGGAAAAAAGAAAAGAAAAAAAAGGATTAAATGAGTTGCACCAATTTTTCTTTTGGTCTAGAACTTCCCTTTGTCAGCTGTCACTTTTTAATTGAATTGAAACAAATTTCAAGCCAGAATGCTGTGCTACTTTCAGCAGTCTGATGTAATTCACTTTTATTCTCCCATATTAAGCCTAAGGAAACCTCTAGAATATTTTCTGGCCATCTGGACCGGTATCCTAGAAAAGCACGCATTTGTTGCTGAGGTAAATACTGTTCTCTGGTCAACTTCAGCCGCAGCTGTTTGGGTTTGTAGCCATTCATTTGCATTGCGATCTCTGTGTAGCACTGCTCCCTACTGCTTGACAGTAAGAGAGTAATCAGTCCTTGTAGCTGTCCATTGGTATTAATGGAGACCCAATTACGCTCATGGTAAACTGTTTTAATTATGGTGGCAATTAAGCTCAACAGTAGCTTTTTGGAATCAATGGAAATTAAATGCAGATAACAGACATTAATTGAACATTTATTGGAAACAATTTAAATTATGTATAGTTGTGCCTTAGTTAATGGAAATTAATGACCACCATTTGGGAATAAGCAGAACTGCTGGAATGTAATGAAAGTCAATACGAGCAGTTACAAATGGTTGAGATAAGGAAATGCGTATTGATATTAGTGATCTTCAATATTTTCCATTGGAACTATTATTTGATACAGATTGTATTGCTGCGAACTTCATCTAGTGTACAGGGATAAGAATATAATAGTTGTAAAGTGCTACTAATCCGGTAACTTGCTATTCTGAATGCTGAAATAATGCAGTAGATTCTTAATTGTAGTCTTATATTTGCAGATAAACTGAAACCGAGGCTGTTATTGATTAAAAGAGGTGGCACACTGCAGACCCTGCAAGAACTACATTGTTCTTGAATTTCATACAGTGTAGCTTAGATTTTTACATGTGATTTGAATTACTTGAATGTCTTAAAGATCTGTGTTCCAACCAGATGTGAGAAATGGCTTTGGTTTTAAAAGTTTTAAGGAAGGACCACCAAATACTGAGGGGAAAAAAAAAACCCTATGTGCATTTTCCCTACACCTCCAATGGAAAATAGAAACTAAGAAAGGTAGCCTTTTTTTTTTTTTAATATAACTTGGACTCCTGTCAGGAAAATGTTATTTACCTGAAAAGCATAATTATCCTTTTTTTCCATCTTGGCCTTTTTCTCAAAGCAAAGTTATACACTGCTTTACTGCATTTGATAAAATGCTCTAATTGAAAGGATTGAACATTTTTGTACTAGTCTCACTCTTTACAAGCCACCTTTAACTATGCCAAATATCTACTAGTTAAGTACCGACTGTACTGACTACAGTAATTGGCTTTACTGATAGAATACATATATGTTCCTGTTAACCCTATTAAGGCATAATATCTTTTTCCATTTTTGTTTCCCTGTCAGTAGAGCTTTGCTTTTTAAAGTTATCTTAGTCATTTTCTGAATTCCTTACAAGGAGTCGTTAACAAATATTCAATTTAAAATGAATGTGCTACCTTTTTAAAAGGAAGATTAGGTCACACGGTACTCCATTCTGTTTTGTTGTCTTCTCTTATCTCTCAGAATCAGGTTTTTGTTGCAAAGTAATATGACAAAGATTAAATAGATTCTGTTATTTAAAAATCCCATGACTTGTTGAGAAACCCCTCCTTTCCTGTGAAATTCTCATTGGTGAACTGAAGATGACTGCTGCAAATTGACCACAAAAATGGCACGAAAAAGACAAAGCGAATTTATCTACAAAGAGTAAATAAAGGTTGGAAATTCCTTTGGAAATACTTCTAAAGCTCAATTGAATACAGCATTGCAAAACTGAAAGAATTAACCAGTTTGTTATGCTATATACAGTGTTTAATACTGGTATGTATTTCAAGCTAGCGGTAAAAACAAAGGTGCACTAATAAACAAGATACTATTAGTTCACAGAGATACTATCTGTATTTATCTGTGAGAAGTCCAAGGAGTACAGAGATTGACTGGAAAATATAATTGGCATTATTCCTTTTAATTATACCTGGTGATTTGTTCAGAGATTTATAATCCTGACCTGGATATTCTATAAACAGAACCTTCATTTAGAAGGGATTAAAGTTGGCTATGTGTGATAACTCACCTTAACATAAACTCTTTAAGAAGATGTCAGGTTATGGAGTGCCTCCTAACCATTCCCTTCCCTTGCCCAACATGCCTGCTGCTGACCACATTTGCATCACAGAACTCCTACCTCCAAGTGACCACGGAATGCATCATGCACAAGCCCTTTCAGAGCATAAAATGCTGTCTTATTAAGATCATCAACATCAGCATAAGTTGACATATATGACACATTCAAGTTCAATGAGCGCTATTTTATGCAAAACATCAGTAGATAGACCTCCCTAGGTAATTCAATCATTCCAAATGCCATGGTCTCAGGAAAGCAAAGGCTTGCTAATCCAAGCTACTTTGTGAAACTGGCCAGGTGGAGACTGGTTCCAGCCCAGAAGATGTGTATGGCTGACTGCCTAAACTTCACAACTACTGCGGCCGCCCTGGCTCCCAGTCTGGTGCTCAGATTGGATCAGCTCAGAACCAAAATGGCGGGGCTCGATGTCTGAAAAAAAAACCAAAAGGGCACCAGAATCTACAGTCCCAACAGAATAAATGGCTAAGAACTACACACTTTTTCCTATATGAAACTCATAAATGAATTGAACTGAATCCTCATCCTGATTGTGGATCCTACTGGAACTTCATGGAAAGATGGTCAATTCTTTTGCAAATTCCTTTCCACATACTCCACACGCACACATACACAGTTGTGAAGTTGTTACATTTTTACTGATGGTTTTTTTATAAGCTGAGTTCAGCCTTGTTGAAAATGGTAGGATTAACCACCGCACATCTCTTCTGAGCTGTAAGAAACAGTTCAGCACATGTTTCTGCCCTAAACAAGGTGAATATAAGGTTGCTCAGGAATTTAAAAGATCTGGGTGGGGAGCATTGTTGATTTTTTTGGGGGCAGGGATTTATGTAGAAAAAAATGAGCAGATGGAGAAGCTGAGACAGAACTCAGGAGCAGCCTAGGAAGAGCGGTGCACTGCAGGAGCAGTAGTGCGTGTCTTTGGGAAAAGCCTATAGAGAGGGTTTTCAGTCCTGCTGTTCGCTGGGGATGAGAACAAGGAACATTCCTCCAATTCCATGAGTGCTCCTGTGCTCAAGACAGCAGGGTTCAAGCATCTTTTGAGCAGACAGCATGTCAGCAGCACACCTGATTCCCCTCACCCCCCCCCAGGCAACTCTCCTGTTTTCCAACCCATACTACAATGTACAACATGCTGAATTCCACCTTAGAAGTGGCTCAAAACTGAATATTCAGTTCTATTCAAAACTGTATAAAGTGTAGACATCTCAAGCAATGAGAAAATGTGAATAAAGAACACAAGAGAGGAAAAAGAAACAGAAAGAAATTTGCTTACTTCTGACTTTCTTACATTATAGAAATGCATGGCCAAAATACCTTGCCACTATCTTTAAACATCAGAGAATATAGAAATGCAAGGCAAACCAGAATCAACTTTGGGAAGCTCTTACACTTCTACAAATTGACAGACACAGTTTGAACCAATTTATTTAAAAATTCCCAGATAAACCAGTCTTTAGTTCTAGATTACAAACAGTGAATTTGGAAAATTCTGTATACAGCCAAAACAAAGAGTTTCAGACCTTCTACAGCTAGTAAGTGTAACTGAAATATTTGAAAAAGGTAATAACAAAGACTGAAACAGGTCGTGAGCTGCTTCTTTAAGTCACAGATTTAACAAGAACCTGGGAAGATTTACCTTTTGTAGGACTGCAGATGTGGTAATCCAGAGATTTTGGTAGGACTCTAAAACTCATATAACTGTAATTCATTTCCACATACTTATCATTTCAGAAACAGGGACTTGTAGCACTTTATTCCCTTTAGTGTTCATGTGGAAGGCCATAGAGCCCATAGTCCTAGACTCGCCAATAGAAAGACAACCATCTTTGAACTGAACTTCCCAGGAACTAAGTCTTCCTTCATCTGGAGTCAATGGAAATGCTAGCATAGGCCTTGGTGCAAGTAAATTTAACTTCTAGTGTTTTTCATGACACCTCTTTTTTGAAGGATATGCTTACTTAAGCATTACAAATCGTCTGTACTGTTTTTTTAATATGAAGATTAAATCAGGCTTGTAATGTATTTCTCATTTTGTATCAAAAAATCTTGTGAAAAGGAAGGACTGTGTTGAGCAAAACTTTTAAATGTTGAGCTAGCTTATCTTCATCCTCCTTCCTATTATCCATTCACATAAAAGGAAGGTGTTAATGATACAAGAGTTGGCAAATAGTTCATAACATAAAATCTAAATTCTGTTTTGTTTGTGATAGAGGGAGAGAAGAGAGAAATTCCATCATTTCAGCAATTTAAAAATCTTATTTTTTTCACACCAAATTGCAGCTCAGTATGACTTGAACTGGCAGACGTACCATCTCCAGCAGTCCATGTTGTACAGTGGAAATGCCAATTGATTTCATAGAAGAGCACTGTTAGTGGCACCACTCTTTACTGTTACTGAAATTAATTTACAGGAGCTGGACTTCTGCTCTCAAATCATGCATTACGTTATCACTTTTCTATTTGCACATCATTTATTTAAAAGTAATTGTTTCCTTGATTCACAGCCTTCCACACCTACGTGATATGAAACATCATATGCTATATTTCATCTCTCCCTAGGTAAAAGTCTACAACGTGTTGATGTTGATGTAAGATGAGGATGCTCAGCACTTCACAAAACCAGGCCCTAAGCAAAAGGCAAGCATAATGTTTCAACAAGTACGAGTTACAAATGGACATGGTGAAGGTGGTGATTAAAGACTGTTCTGAGTACAGTCTGGGGTTCTGATGTTGCAGTATTAAGCTGCTTCTATTTTCTTTTTGTGACTTATTTCTCTTTGGAGTACCTCTGATAGTCTTGATGCTTATTATCAACAATGATTGCCGATCCTTTACATACCATTTTTATTTAATGATTCTTGACCAACAGAATTCTGCTTCTAGCCGCCCAGACTAAAGCACTGACCTCTGCAGCACTGAATGTTTGCTCAGACCCTCTTTCACCTCCACCATGTTTTGCAGAGGGGAGGGCACTCAGTCCTTTTCAGCAGGGACTGGGAACAGAGCTCACCTCACCACGCCTGGTGGCAGAGAGCTGCACATCAGCTGCTCATTCACATCCCTCTAGTAGCTGATTGGAAAAAATAGCACCTGCAGGCTCTGGTTCATCCTAACTATTTCAGACATTTAGGAGAATGTGAATTGAGACCTCTTAGTACCTTGTGCTATGGTGACTAGTTCAGTTATCACTGCTTACACTATTTGTATCTACCTTTGCTCAGCTGCATCCTATGTCTTGATACTTCTCTCAATACGTCCTTAAGCCCAGGATAATTCCACCTCAAGCCATTGTCAGGATTTAAACAAATCGCCTCAAGCCTTACTTCTATTTATCTCAAAGACACTTTGATAAAGGAGCACATTCAATGATTAAAAAAAAAAACACTGGTCACCTGGTGACAATGCAACATTCACCACACACTAAAAGCAACCCCTTCAGGTTTCACTTACATTAATATTTAGGTATCAGCAGGAAGTGATGCTCCAAAATCATGACTTGGTGATGTGTTTATGATCTGCTGCATGGATTCATTCACTGTAAAACAGAAAAAGATTGTTTAGCAGATAAAAAATGGTTATTTTACAAACCAAAATGAAGGAAGTTCTTTTCTTGCTGAAATATTAAGTGATTGTTTGGTGCTCGTGCCTCAAATAGCCTGAGCTTCCCTTAAAAATTAAAACATGAAATTCTCTGCTAGTTGTTTTGATACTGTCTTACTAAGAAGTCACAGAGCCTATTATACTGAGTCCTGTCCTTTGCATCGGTTCTTTTTTTTAATTGTGTTTTGCAAATTCAAACTTCATCAACCAAACAAATCTCCCATTTTGACTATAGAAAATCTACCTTTGAATCTGAATTTTGCAGGTTGGGTTTCCCTCTTCTTCCTGTCTGAGAGCACAGTTATGACACCTACTTGCACGAGTTCATAATGAATTGAAATGCTAGTGACATGAGTATGTGCTGAACAAAGGAATTTAACAAAAAAATTACTACACTTCAAAGCAATAAAATCTTAAAGAGTTAAAAACAGTTCATTTTTTCCCCAGGTTGCTCAAGTTAGGAGTTGTTTGCAATGCACAGAGCACATTTGGGACTTTATTCCCTTTTGCAGTGTCCTATATACATATCTTTTTAGATTTCCATGAATATGACAGAGATCTACACAGAGTGGAGTTTGATGCAGTGATATGAAACTCTCTCAGCGATTTTCAAAATATGCAAACCATAAATCATTCACCTTAACCCGGACCCAAATTTGCATAAAACCAGAGTCGATCGTCTCAAAAGGTAATTTACTCAAAGCCCAAACAAACCCAGCTGTGTGGAGCACATAACAAAGTTATGAAGGTAGGATTCACATGGCTTCAGGGTTTGCAATGGATGCTTTGCGCAGCTGTAATGATGAGTGGGTGAGGATAGTTAAGAATGAATGAAGTGTGGGTGGTGGAAATATTCACTGGGCATGTCACGGCCAGAAGAGGAAACACTGGGGCCTCCCAGCCTCCGGAATGGAAAGGACGTCAAGGCTCCGTGGACAGGGGTCCTACTTATTTATTTATTTCAGCCCTGACACATTCTCATTAGGAAGGCAAAAATGTGAAATCGATAGTTTCTCTTGAATGCAAGGAGCCGACTGTGGCTGCGCAGCAGAGCTGTCTTATAATCTGCTTCCAAACGTGTGGGTGCCTCTTGGGCTTCCTCAGAGATTTTATGGACCGTTTTCAAAGTTTTCTGTAAATTCACGCCAACAATGTCTGCATCCCCTACCACATCAGTCAAAAATTGAACTGTGTTTCAGAGTCATGTAAATTCCTTCTATAAGAAACATTTACATTTTACGAAATGAAAACTGAGCAGACTACTTCATGAGGTGAATTCATCCCTGGTTTGTGTCCCTCATTGCAGTGCAGTTACCGCAGGGATGGTTGACTAATAGGTTACCATTAACAAACAGAAAAATGAGTAGCCCGTATAACTGAACATTACAAAGGTTTCTTCCAGGATTGCCAGGGCACACGATAAGATGGCACGCTGATAAGATACTTCATTCTTGGATTTTCGTGAGAACTTATCTGTAACTCCACAAAACCCAAAGGCCGGTTTATGTTTCTTTATGGCATTATTATAGGGCACTGTAAGTGTAATAAAACAATCTGCTAACTGTTCTCCTTGACTGTTCTTATTCATTGCTCCTAGACAGGTTTTCTTGCACATATGGTAAAATATATACAACAACTTTCATATCTAAGGTCCTAGTAGTTTAAACACAGTCCATTTCTTTATTGGCAAATTATTCTTTGTAGTTAGGACTTGATTAGGCTGGGAAATATTGAAAATATGTTGACTAATGCACTGTTAAAAATAAAAGAAGTGCAATGTTTAAATAATGACAGATATTTATGGTCCAGTGTGGGATTAACTACAGTCTTCTGATGAGGTTTTAAATATGGTCTTTTTATTTGCCTTGAACAGTTGTTCATGGTTCACAGTTGTAACCACAATTGATACAGCAGTTAAAAAGATGCAGTTCTCCAAAGCTACCTCTATTGCCTATCGAGCAGAACGGTGGCATAAAATGATGTCTTCACTGAAATCTGCCCAAAATTCATCGATTCTGGAGGAGCGGAACATTTCTTTATGTAGAGAACAATGTACTCATTCAATCTGAAAGCAAAGTAGTTTTTTCAAAGGGTGTTTTTTTTTTTTTTTAGCCAAGTAAAACTATCTTCAAGGACAAAAAAAAGTCCTTGGCCCTGGGCAAGAATTAGTGGCATTGATAACTGTCATGTCTGGGGTTTAAAGGAAAGCAATGAAAATTCAAAATTTGTCAGAGTTTCATTATTTAAGCTAAAAGACTCATGCAGCAAGAATCTGTAAATAACACTCAATCAAGAAAGAGCTTTCTGAACAGCTGATGTGAAGCTTGAAAAGAGGCAACGTAACAAATGTGATGCGGGAGGCAGGGGGAAGTGCTTTCATTCCAGTTCAGGAACATCTGGTTTATTGCAACAATAACTACTGTAATTATATCACTGCTGGAAAAGCTGCTCTAGGTTAGGTTAAGTTTGTGGGTTTCTATAATAAACATTGCTTTGGAGGAGTGGGGGTTTCAGTATTTCAGCCATGTCAGATCACACTGAACTGAACCGTGATTTGAGGCAAAAATAACAAAATATGGAAAACATAAAAGCATTGTTCATAACCATATATTTCTTGAGATATACTCTTGGTTTATTCCTCATTATAGCAAGCGGAGGGTATGCCAAAGAAGCAAATTGTTGGATGACTGACCATATTTCACTGATAAAAACTAAAAAAGTAGTTTTTTTGTCAGCTGGAAGTAGGTTTGTTAATGCATTACAGCAATATACATTGCTGTAATAAATAAGCAAGCAACCCGCAAAGGACATTAAGTACAGTTATTGTCACTTTACATACAGGGACAGACAGTAGCTTAATGGCAGAGAGCCTCCAGGTTAGAATATGGTGCATTTTTCCAGATGAGAGTCTGTGTCATAGGACTTATTGTTCAGCCACCATATTATTTCAATAGTCCTTTGTAATGAAGTAATACAGCCAAGGTAGAAGGCTTTTCTGAGGGAAGGTCTTAATCTTCACTGATCTTTTACTACAGCAGAACCAACTGAATTTTCTCAGCTGCCAATTCTATTTCCTGAATATTATGCAGCAGTAAGAAACAATTGTCTGTTTTCTTGGCAACAGGGTACAGTTATTGACCTCAGCGCCAGTAGTGTTCATAGCAGAACCATGGCTGCACTTGGATCTGCAGTGGGTTAGGAGTTATGCATTAAAATTTTCTCACAAAATATAAAATATAAATATAAGATATATTCACAATAATATAAAATATAATCACAAAAATATAAAATATAAGTAAACCAGTTTGTATTCTGCTGGTAGGGCATGCTTAGACAACAGTCTAAATATGTAAGTTTGTAAATATGCTGTAAGCATACACAGCTTCAGTGTACCAGCAGTGTATAAAAAAGAATGGGTCAACATCTTCCTGACAAAGGGAAATAGGAATGTCATTGCAAATATATGAATACCCATTAAAATGCTTTGTTATTATAGGAAGGTCTAAGACTGCTGCAGACCTCTGGGAATTTAAGAATGAGGAAGAAAAAGATATTTTATTATGGTGGCTTGCTTCTCTACCTCGTGATTTGAAGTTGTGTGCTGCTGTGTACTGAGATTCACATACCTGTACACAACAGATCAAATAGAATTTGCAAATTACATGCATGCACTGTTCTAACAATTGTCTCAGTAGTCTTTCATGCTTACACTGGCAAAACATTACCTAAGCAAGAGTCAACTTACATTACACATGCAAATGTGGGGTTTATATGCGCAGAAGGCTGCTGTTTTTTAAATGTAGATTTAACACTATCTTTAGTTCTAACTCCTGCAGCTAAAATAATTTCTACAAGTTCAGTGCTAGGAATTGAAATGAAGCCTTTACTTCACTACAAATGGAATAAAATAATGCCAGAATATCACACCCTATTTTGTTTTGTGTCTTCTTATTCTACCAGAAAAGTTCAAATTAATGGAGTATAAATTGCATCACATAAAGGGAAACTGAACCCTGTTGAAGGCAGACCAGTGAAAACACACTTTAATTTTCAAAGCAACACAGCAGATAAAATAATAAAGTTGTTTTAAAATTCAAACAAAAAGCAGATTTGTTGTTACTTATGATTTACACTATCTGATTTTCCCAAGCCATTGTGGAGTTCAGTGCTAGACACATCTGTTGTACAAATAGGGTTTTGCTACACAATGTACTTTCATTAGTGTATACACATACACACCAGTGAAATATACGTATGTGCTACAGACGTATATATCATACACCATCTCATCACTAGGTTTACAATTCTGGACAGTGGGCTGTTGAAATTTTGTAGAATTTTAAATAAATATTTTTACGTGCCCATATCATTAACATTTTTATTTTACATATGGTCTTGGTTTTACTTCACAGGCTTTGACGCCCATTGCCACAAATGGCTTAATTCCTTGTGATTATACTCCAGAAATGTTACATCTCAGAATTACCAATGGCAGAACAAATCATCAACTGATACCAGCAATCACAAACCTGTGTCAAGAGGAATATGGGACAACTTATGTGAGCTGAAGTACGAAGAATATGTTCAAAATATGAATGATCCAATGATTAAACAAATGAGGCACAAGCTTGAAGCTTGCTCTACTCTCATGCTGAATGCCACCTGGAAACCTGACCTGGTACTTCTGTCAGAAAAATAAAAAGGTAAACAGCACTAGGCATGTCTTAATCATGCTAGCCTTAAAATACCACCTAGAAAAAAAAAATCTGTATCTCTGCTTCTGCTTGCTGAGATACTGAATTTTGGAAGAAACTGACTACTGCCTGGATGGTATTAAGTGTCCTCAAATGCCTCATCAATGCTTTTAGATACCTTCCAGCATCAGGCACTCATTCAAAAAAAGAAGTTGAGCTACTGCAGTTTTTTCAGCTTACCTGGTGTCAGGAACTCTTGCAGTACTTAGGGTTCTGTCCTGTAAAGTCCTGTAAAATGTTGACCTCCTTTCACTCAAAAGTAGAGGTGGGCTGTTCTGCATAATCCACACTTCATATGATTCAATATATAAACTAAAAGAAAAAGAAAAAAAGAAAAAAATTAACAAAAACGAACAAGCAAATAGAACTGAAGATCAAATAGTGGACAGAAACAATTTTTTTTTTTAAACAACTGCTAAAGATATAATTTCCAATTCTGTTTTTTTAATTTTTTTTATTTTTTTTTTCCCCTCTGCTTTTATAGTGCTTCCTTAGTACATCTAAACAGTAGAAGAATTTGCTTGTGGTGGGCTGACTTCCTCCCATAGTGCTCATAAGTCACCACCAATTGGTTCAAGTGCCTTTCATCTCTGCTAAGCTCATAACATAATTGCTTGTGCTGAGGATGGTTCAGTCCCATTTCCAGCATTGGGTCCCAGGCCACACTACAATGAGAGACATTTACTGGCGTTGGTTGTTCATGTTTGCAGCAAAATTATGTATGGGAAAGGTGGGGCAGCACCTGGAATCCTGTGCCATCCTCATTTCCCATGCAGATAATACTGGAGATGTTCCCCTGGAGCTGTAAGGGCTTATTTGATTTAGTACTTCTCTATGAAAAGCTCTCTTTTCTGAGAATAAGCAAAATAAGTTTACAAGTGAGGCAGAAAAGTCTACCAGATAGAGCAGAGATCTGGGATATTTTAATGATATTATGAAGCTGAATCATTGTCCACCATTTGTAAGCTACAATGTAAATATGAATGATAAGTAAATATTATACACATATAGAGTAAAATAAGACAGAAAATCCAAGTTCCACTTCTGTAATGTTCTGAGCAATCCTACATCTTTTCCATGAACTCTTTTTTTCTTTTTTCCTTCTAAATTGCCTTGTTGCAATTACAAGAGCTGATTGTAGTAAGAATACATCATTCTTGGAAACAGCTGACACTATTTTCTGCATGAGTGTAGCATATCTTCACTTTAAGGAAACTTGAGTTTTGTGGACACATTCAGAGATAGGTGCTCTGATATTCAGACTTTGTTCAGTGATGACAGTGCAGAAGTTCTACTGGAAGCTGAGGAGACAGATTTGCAACACAGTCCTGAGAAAGCATAAGTTGTAACAGTAAGGAATTCTGTAGTAGTAATTGCATGTGCATTGAGATAAATGCTTTTTTCTGACTATGTTATGTTAACTTCGAAATGAAACAAATTCATGAGGCACGAATGCATTTTGCATTCAGCTCCACTGCTTGTAATAGGCTCACTACAGGTTAGAAATCAGAGACAAACATGAAACATAAACTTCAGACCATGAAATACAAAACACTCAGCAACTCCAATTTAGATAAGGGGTCTGACTGTGCAGAGTTGAATGCTGCACCAAAGGAATGTGAGAATTTGTAAAGTATGACAATAAAGGCAAGGGCCATACATAGTTCACAGATCTATGGAAGGGGCTTGTAAGGGAAAATCATCTGAAGTTCACACTATTAAAAATGGGGGAAAAAAAAGGGAAATATTGGGGAAAATTTGACACTGAATTTTTACAGACAATCACCAGAGGGTTACTGGTTACAGATGTTTTTGTAATCATGAAGAAAATGGAAGAATTCTTAGCGTTCAGCGTCCCTCAACTCTGTATGCTCAGTAAGATATACACTGGATGTCAAGAATTGGTAGCATAGAATACAGCAGAGAACAGTTAGGAACTCTATCCTGCTACTCAGCCTGGTTAATGACAGGATAATTACCATACGGCAAGAGCAGGCCACCGTTCCTCCTGAAAATGGCAGTAGCTATAAAGAGACTGGTTGTCACTGCTGGGTCCGTGCCCTGTTGGCCTCCCCACAGGGAGCAGCAGGAAGGGGCTGCCTGGGCACGGCGCCTTGGGGCACTGCTTTCAGCACTGGTTTAGGCTGACAGAGCACTTCAGTGAGAGTTTTAATGTGCTCTCATTCATCATGGGTTTGTGTCACTGAGTTGGGCGCATCCAACTGTCCCACCCAAGACTGTTTGGTACTGATGTGCATCTTTCCCTCCAGCATTTGCTGTCTCGGGGCAGCACCTAGCATCATTACCATCACGTGCTGAATTAAAGTTGCATCTGTGCAGCTGGCTATTTTTATCCACGGTTTGTCTTTTCCTTCCAGTGCCTCCTTCAATTCAGAAATCTCACTAGTAGCCTCCAGAGAGAAGCCCACAGGGGAGAGCTCGTTCTTCCTTCTTCAGAAAACTCCGTGTCCTTTCAGTGCTCTCCCATGGAGCATCGGCCTTTACTCTCTGCCCGAGCTCCTCCCAGGCTGCCGGTCACCCTGGAAGCACTTTTCCCACATGCTGTATTGTCAGGGGACGGCCTGACCACGGTCAGTGGTTGCTGCCTGTGGCTGTGTGGGTGGAAAGGGGCAGAGGGGCCCACCAGCGCAGAGCAGAGCAATGGCAGGAGGAAGGCCTGGAGACCACTGGGGTTTGTGGGTGAGGAGCTGCTGACCTGCCAGGAGCTGGGCTCTGTGTAGATCAGGGCATTAAAAACAGAGAAAGGAATGGTTCTTTAAATAGCAGGCTATGATTTGCAGAGAGAGGTTTTGTCTCTTCCAGATTCAGGCACATAAAGTTTGTCATCTGTCTACATATGCTGCATTTGCCTTGTGAGTACATAATGATGGGATATCTCACCTGTGAAATTACTCATGCAGGAGCTTCAGCCTGTTTATCACCCACAGCACAGCCACCTCATTTGTTAGATAAATTTGGACCTACGGCTGGGCTCCATCTTGCTTGTAATGTTGTGAAATTCTATGTTGCTGTCAGTCTGTCCGCACCAGCAGTGGCACCCAAGGCAAAAAGCAGTCTCATCGACAGCACAACATCACCCCATTTGATAACAGGAACTTTTGGGAAAGGCTAACCAGTTAAACTTGCACCCAGCCATCCACACGTTACCTAAACTAGATCCAGACACTATCCAAGAGTCAGATTTCCACAATCCATAACTAACTGAAAGATAAAGCAGGTTGGCTTGGAATTTTTGTTTTGTTCTCTGTGTGCATGCGTGTGTTTGTGTGTTTATGCCAACTTTATCCGAATGATGGCTGGCAGTACTTCCTGATTTTGTAGTTGAGATATATAAATACAGCAAGAGTGAGATAATATCTGATAATGTAATACCTTTTCTTCCCTAGGCATTGACAGGAGTTGGTTCTTAACAACCCTGCAAGTTTAGACCTACAAAGAACCCCCAAAGTGCAGCCACACACTACCTGCAGCAAAACTGCTCCAGCTGAGTTTGGTCTTACTTAAGTTGTAAGCAACAAATGCTAGTGCTCATCATCATTCACTAAGGTCAGAAGAGACGAGGAGGACACAGCATCATTTACACATACGAAGTATTGCAGAAGATCCACTTCTGCGGTTGATTCATGTTCAAATCAAGGCTGTTGATATTGTCTTTAAGACAATACCTTAGACACTCGGTCACAAGAGGTCAGGTAAGATTAAAGAACTAAATTTTTAAATCTATTAATATTAAAAATGGTCACTTCTGGCTTTTCATTCACACCATCTGTTGCCAGCAGGTTGTATCAGCAGTTTTAGGACAGCTTAATAATTGTTCCCAATTTTTGCACACTGAGAGGTTAAAAATAAATCTTCAGCTACACAGAAGAGTCCCCAACCACTGATTTCTCTGCAATATTTTGGCAACATAAAAAGAAAATGTAAAGAAAATATACCATATGAGCCTTTCTAGAATTATTTCTCTGCATCACATGCGATATAAATAAAACAAACCTCAAGACTCTGGCTTAGAATATGGAATTACATTATGCTAAGGTCATTCCTGCTGTGTTTACCACAGTAAATTTGAATTATAGGTGTCACTGTGCATAATATTTAAATACTTCAATGATGCACAGAGCTCTCAACACTCTTGTTTCTTTCCCACGTTCACGACAATTTGCCTGCAACAATTTAGAACAGAGCAATCATTTCAAAGCAACCTCTTTGAGTCAAGAAACTTGTGTGCACACTACACAGCTGCATCTAAGATGCAGCATAATCCCCCACTTTAGCACCCGTATCATACTCAGGGGTGCAAAAGTATTAAGACAGTCCCAGGATGTCCATCTGAAAGTTTCCCTGACTTAAGGGATCTGTGGTTTAGAGACAGTGCTGTCAGAGCTTGTGAAAATGAATCACTGTCACACTTCCCAGCAGCCACAATGTCTGTATGAGTCTTCCTCCTGGTGTGTCTTGGTGCAGCCCTACTGCTGCCACGTATTCAGCCAAGCGGTAGAGGCTGGCGAAGGGGTTGGGGGTGGAGGGGCTAATATGACTGTGTTAAGTTTCTGCTTTGAGAACAGCCTGTCTAAACAAAAGTCCAACCCAAGAAGAGAATGAAAATTGAGGGAGAGTAAAAAAGGGAAACTAAAGAAACTTTGAATTATCTGAAGTACAAGAATGAAGATAAATGTAAAACTGCTGGAAGAAAACAGTGGAAGTATCACAGATGACCTCTTAAAACATAAGCAGATTTTAGTGTACAAATAGCAAATAAGGGACAGACTAAAATAAATAAGAATAGCTCCATGAAATAGATATGAATGTTAAAAAATGTTTTATCCAGTGATATTTTTACAGGATTTTGAAGTGCACACAGGAATTGGACTTTTGCACAAGATGTTGATTTTTTTTTGACTAGTCTTCCTACAGTAATTAATTCCTTTCATAAAATTCAGTCTCTCTGGCTACTGTAGTCAAAATTTTCAAGATTATCTGGCAAATAAATGTAAAATGCTGAAAATATATGAAAATGTGGTCATTATAAGGTGCCCAACTGGAAGTCAAGCTGTTCTCGCTAGTGAGTTTTGCACAAAGCAAACCTCTTCTTTATAATCCAAATATTCAGTGCAATTCCTCATAAGACAATGAGGATAATTATGTATCTGGGAATAGCCACAGGAAGGTGCCGTGACAGGGAGGAGGAGAGAGCAGTTCAGAGGTGTGGGAAGCCCAAAGCTATCCCATTTCCTTCAGCCTTCACTCCTAGCCTCCTCTTGAGCCTCAGCCACTCCCAGGACTTGCTGGAG